TGGTGCTACACACTTGTAATGGGGAGATGAAGGGAACTGGATCCCTGGATCTCACTGGCACAGCTAGCCTAGCCTAATTGGTGAGCTCCAGGACAATGAGAGACTACATCTCAAAAGAGGTGAACAGCATTCCTGAAGATGGTTCCTGAGGCTCCTGAGGTTGTCCTTTGTCTTGCACACACACACACACACACTCACATGCACATGCACACACACACACTTGCATGCACACGCATACACACACACACACATACACAAACACACAAAGGATACGGTGGCATGTCCTCTTTTTCATAGACTGCAGAACAATCTCGAGGCAACAAAGTTCGATTCCCTTATTTGGAAGGGATACGGAAGGAAGTAGGTTGGAAATTTCATGGGAACCTGCTTTTCCCTGTTCAACATTTTAGATATATCACTTTGGAAGTTGTTGTTCAGATAGCTATAGAGGAATACTCCTTAAGGATAGGATGAACTGTATTCCCAACCACTGTATCTGTAAAAGGATAATTCCTTTCCAAGGAGCCGGTCTGCAAGGCTTTCTTGTTATGGACATTTTAGCTAAAATTCCATCTGCCTAAAATGCATCATGTGATTACAGCTGTTAATAATAAAGGATTTTTCTGTCCCATCTGAGTTTTACCCCTTCTTAATAGAGTAAAAATAACAAAATAATAATATTAATATATTTAGTAAGTCTCAGGCTTTGTAGTTTTCTGATTTTCATTGTCGAACTCAGGATTTTGTGTATGCTTAGCTATCACTCTAGTGAACTACAGCCTCAGATTAAAGCCGTGTACTTTCAAAATTTTTAAAGGCAAAATCTTCGTGCTTTATAAAGTGATACACCTCTACAGTGATGACATACACACCAAACAATTGCATCACTGGTTTTTGTTTTCGTTTTTGTTTTTGTTTTTGTTTTTGTTTTTTTTTTGTGTGTGTGTGTTTATAAATTTAATATCAACTTGCATGACAAACATTTTTGGGGGTAACCCAAAATGCACAGTGCAGTACTACAAAGTACAAACAAATTAGATATTTATCTGGAATCAATCATTGCTCATTATCTTCTGATAATATATCATGACATTTGCTGCAAGTTTAATGAATCAAAAGACTGCAGGATCTGATGTTTTATTAAGTTTACATTGAGGCTCTTATATACATATTATAGAATAGTTGGTATTCAACTCCACATTTTCAGAGCCTGGCCATATTAGGTATAAGGGATTTTATTTCTCACCAAAACCACAAGGTATGAGGGATTTTATTTCTAACCAAAACCACAAGAGCTTCCTCCCATTAGCAGCTGATATCCTTGGAATAAAAGGAAGGGAAAGTAGCCCTGGAGATGTTTTCTCTCCCTGTGTGTATAATGCTGCAACTGCAAAAGTAACACTTAGCTGCTTCCTTGTATGCAGGAAACTCACAGATCCCTCCACTATCCCCTCCTGCAGATGCCTTTGTCTCCTTCGGGGGTGGGGGGGACTCTCAAATTTCCAATACCTATTGCGAAGACATTTGCTTATGGTTTCAAGGGCATTTCACGCAGTTACATCAGTGTGATGTGGTCAATCATCTGACTCAAACTGTTGAAAAACATCCTTTTAGACAAGGACAGATGGAGTGCAAAGGGACATGCTCAGGTTCCGATGGTCATGAGTATAGTAAGAGCAAATGGGGTACAATTCTCTTTCTTTATAAGAATAATAGGGATCACTCAGTGCAAAGAACCCAAAAGTAACAGCAATTTAAAATGTTTTGAATTTTATTTCTATTTATTCACTTATTTGGCTTTATTTCTGTGTACATGTGTATGCACTAGGAGTCAGTTTTTTCCTTCTGCCATGTGTGTTTTGGGAATCAAATTCAGATGGTCAGACTTGGCAGCAAGTGCCTTTACCACCAGATCATCTCATTGACCCAAGAAATGACATTCTTAAAAAAAATACGCTGCCTCCAATCCTCTTTTAAATACTATTTTTATTGATTTTTAAAAATTTTCATGCAATGTATGTTGATCATATTCCGACCCCTTCACTCATCTTCTCTCAGATCTACCCACGTCTCCCTACCTCCCTTTATTTCATGTCCTCTATTGTTACTTCTTAATGCCTATCAACTGCAATCTGTGTTCCTCAAATGCTTTGGGTATGGTTCCACCCCTGGAGACTAGTCAACCTAACCAGCATCACATCCTTAAAGAAAAATGAGTTTCCCTCTCCCAGCAACTATCAGTTGCAAATAGGACTCAGCTAGGGTTGGGATTTCTAACCAAGCTCCCCCTCCATGCTGGGTTTTTATCTGGCTTGAGCTTGCATAGATATTATACTTGCTATCATATGCAATGTGGATTCATATGTGTAGCTGCCCTGTTTTGTCCAGAAAACACTGAATCCTTATAATCATCTACCACCTCTGGCTCTTACACTCTTTCCTCCCCCTCTTTCTTTTTCAGTAATCCCTTAGCCTTGGGAGGTTCTAGGTATCTAAATGGGACACCTATACCACCTTGTTTTTTGAGAAATTTTGTTTCACTGGGTAAATTGATTGGCCAGTGAGCCACAGGGATCTACCTGTCTCCATCTCCCCATTGCTGGGATTAGAAGCCTGAACCTTCATTACACCTGGGGTTTATTTTTCACATGAATTCTGGGGATAGAACTCAAGTCATCATGTTTGCACAGCAAACACTTTACTGATTGAGTTATCTACTGATCCTTGTGCTTTTCTTTGTATTTTTGTTTTATAATCATCACTCACAAATCATTCTAAACTACATTAATGATATAACACACCTCTACCAAATTTATGTATATTATATGTAATATATCATGTATTATATATGAAACAAATCAAAAGCACTCAAGAAACTTCAATCCTTGTTAAGTTTGTTCAGTTTTTATGTAACAGAAGAGAAATCTCTGATAATTCTGCATGATCGTTGCTAGGTGAGAAAGAATTGCTCTTCTTTAAGGGAGTGACGCTAGATAGGCTGAACAGGCCTAGATGGGATGAACTCATACCGAGGGACATCTGGAGGCACAAATTTGACTAGATAGGACTTAACATATACTATAGAGTGCATTAAATATGGTGGACTGGTTATGGGGGTGCAGATAGGAGAGAGGGTCTAAATATGATTAAAATGTATTATATGAAATGCACAAAAATCAATTAAATATATAGATACTGAAAAAAGAAATTTTGGTGGAATATTTTGGTTACAGTGATATTTTGAAGTCACTAGTATTGACCTTGAAAAAAATATAAGATTTGTTCAATGTTATAATTTTAGCTTATTATAAAAATGGATTTTTATTATTTTACCAATTATGTCATTGTCTTTAAAAATGTTTACAAAGCTTTAGCATATCTGTGAGTTCATAGCAAATAAAACAACAGCCCTTCTTATTTAAAATGAAAAATGTATTCTCTTCTAAATATAAAACAAGATAGGTGGGTAAATATATTTTTACACTTTCTTGAATGTGATCATGTATGGAAAATCTGTTTTAAGTCATTGGCACATTTTCAGAAATACAGAGTTGAGAACTAAAATTTTGAAGTTATTATTATTGAAAAAGACTAGTATATTACTATTTTTCCCATTTTCATAAAAAATAAATTAGCTACTGCATTTGGTTTTCTTTTTTATTACTTCCAGGGGGTTGCAGGCGCTCTTTTTCTGTTGCTGTGACAAAACACCAAGACCAAGACAGCTTATAGAAGGAAGAGTTCATTTGTGCTTACAGTTCCAGAGGGAGAGACGATGATAGCAGGTTAAGCATGGTGGCAGGGGTCAGCAGGCAGGAGCAGAAACCTGAGATCCCACATCTCCAGTACAAACAGAAACACAGAGAAGGAACTGGAAAAGGGCAAGGCTATGAAGTCCCTAAGCCTGCCGCCAGTGGCATGCTTCCTCCAACAAGGCTAAACCTCCTACATGTCAAAGGTTTCCCTCAAATCGTGCTATCCACTGGAAACAAGGTATTCAAATTCTTGAGTAAATGGGGGGAGGCATTTCTCATTCAAATCACCACACGTTTCTGTTAGCATGCGCACATGCAAAGTGTTCAGCAGGATAAGCTTTTCCCATTTGAACTGTCATTTCACTCCCTTTAGTGACCATTAGTGAATAGATCCCATAGATAGGATATGGGACAGTTACAAAAAGATGTAAATGTTGCATCTAAGTCTATAGATAAACTTTCATGAGGAAGAGGTAGAATTCTCCAGATGAATTCTCACTCTCCAAGTAGTGGGAAATAAGTCAAGAAGTACTGTATGTATGTCTGTGTTTATGTGTACCTGTTCATGTGTTGTGTGAGTGCATGTGAAGGCCTGAGGTCAATGTTCAGTGTCTTGCTCAATCACTCAACCACCTTATTTTTTGAGACACACAGGGTCTCTCACTGAAACTGGAACTCACCTATTTGGCTAGACTGGCTGGCCAGTGAGTCCCAGGTATCCTCCTGTCTCTGCCTTCCCAGTATAGGAACACCTGGCTTTTGTATATGGGTGCTAGGGATCTGAACTCCAGCCCTTGTACTCTGTGTGGCAAACACTTCACCAACTGAGCTTTCTCCTCAGCCCCTCAGAAATGACTTTTAAAACACAGATAAAGAAGATCCCAAATGTGAAGAGAATGCAGAATGATAATCAGTCTTGATTTCCAGTGCAAGTGCAGTTACATGACGTGGAAGCTTAAAGTCACAAGTTAGAAGGACTCGCCTCAGATGGTTGAACCTGATGTGGGTATGTACAGCAACTTTTGGAATGTGCTTATATTGAAAGGTAAACTGACAAGTGCTGACAGAACATAGTAAATCCTAACACATTAGCAGGAACTTGACCATGGCGTTATTGGGAGATATTCTGCTACTCAATAATATTCACTGAACACTAAATATGTGCACTGGTGGTTGGTGGCAAGATAAAGCAAAGCTTTGTTCTGTTGACTGCTGACATTAATTACATAAATCAATTACACTTACAGCTTATTTCAAGTCGGATGAAGTCTTTAATGCCAAGATTTTCTAGGAAAACTCCAGATAAAGCAGTAGTTTTAAAAAAGAAGGAGATGTCGGCACTGAATTCTCCATGGAAGGTAGGAAAATGGAGATAAGAAGCTTCGGTGGCAAAAGAGACAGCATTCCAGTAGTGACCTGCAAAGCAGAGGACCAGTGAGCATCACTCATTGTTTTCAATGGCATATGGAAAGCAATTGGGCTTATGGGTAATTTTCAAGACTAGGAGGACAGCAAAGGTAAAAAGGATGAGAATGAAACATCTTTTGCTCATGTAGGAGGGAGGGAGGGAAGGAGAGAGAGAGAGACAGACAGACAGAGAGACAGAGAGACAGAGAGAGACAGAGAGAGACAGAGAATGGAGAGAAAGAAAATGGAGAGACAGTACTCACGGTCTCCATAGCAACGCAAAGGACCAATTCTCCAGGCAGCTTCTGAGTTTGATCTGTTGGTATCTGTGATAACTATCTGAGTGACAGGCAAATGGTCTTTGAAAGAAAGAAAGCCAGTATCATTTGTCCTGCAAAACATAAATTCAAGGAAAAATAGAGATAAAATGTAGATAATCTAGGGATCCTATGCTAAGACCACTCTTTTGAAAAGTGAGTTGGGTTGGTTGTGCCTAGGCTGGGATCAGAAGGAGCATAATAGAAAGTCTTTCATCTCAGGAGCATATGTGAACAGCTGAAATACCAATTACAAAACTCATGGCCTGCTTCCAAACACCACCGGATTTTATATCTTTGCTAAATGTGCTTGCAGAAACAGGTAGTTTACAAAGAGGGCTGTGGCCAGAGGACTCTGCAAACCCACTGTAGTGTTAATGTGAATTTAAATATCACTTTCCCATTTAAAAAACACCTGGTATCTTAGTAACTAACTTGAAAATGTACATGACAAACCCCTCTTTAAAATCATTCCAGGGGCCAAAGAGATGGCTTAGCAGTTAAGAATACTGGCTGCTCTTCCAGAGGACCCACGTTCAAATCCCAGCACCTGCATGGTGGCTACTAATCATCCATAACTCCAGTTACAGGGGATCCAATACCATGTTCTGACCTCTGTGGGCATTGCACGATATGGGTTCACTTACATACATGCAGGCAATACACTCATATACATAAAAAAAAATTAAAATAAGAGAAATCATTCCAAGGATTTCCTTGTGCCACCTGCCGATGGGTTTTAATCAGCTTTGTTCTTTAGTGCCTTTTAAGTTGTGTTAAAATGAATCTGTAAAGTTATTGCTTGTTTTTTCTTTGTTCCTCTTTTGAAAGGTTTTGCTGGTTAATGGCTTTGGCTTTGTTCTTGTTAATTATGCAAATAAGAAATTGCCTAGTACCTTTAGATAGGAAAGCTTAAAAAGAATAGAATAAATCAATGCTTTTCCTTCTTTTTAAGCTGTCCTTTTAGAATTAAGGTGAAAACTATACCACTTAGCAGAGAGTAAAATTTGGAAGAAATTAGCACTGATGAGTTGTGGAAATGACTCAGTCAGTAAACGGCTTGCACTGAAGGGTTGTGGAAATGGCTCAGTTAGTAGATGGCTTGCACTGGGAGGTTGGGGAAATGTCTCAGTCAGTAAACAGCTTGCTGTACCAGCATGAGTATGTGAATTTGGATCTTTAGAACCCATGTGAAAAAAAAAAAAAATCTGTTGTGGTGGTATTTTCTTGTAATCATAGTGCTGG